AAGGGGGTCCAACCCGTTACTAGCGTGGTGTACCTAATAAAGTGGCCGGTGAGTGTATATATATTTTACCCAAATGTTTATTTTAACGCAAAATAACTAGCTGTGGTAAATTTGGTAAATTGTTTTAAAAAATTAAATGTTACCAATTATGTTAATATTTGAGACAAATGCAGTCATCCTATTTACAATGTGTTAACATTTTTAAGACCTCTGAAAGATTGATTTGATATTTTAAGGCTAATTAAGGGCTTATTTTTGGATTGATGAATTAAATGACTTTTTTAAGACTTTTTAAAGGATCTGCGGGAACTCTGGTTTTACTGAAAACTTGTGCATGAATGTCTCAGTTCTTTTGAAACAGCATCTCACAAAACTGTACCTGTTGAAGACTAGCTGGAGACTCAAAAATGTGTGGAAATTGTGGGGAAAAAGAGCCCATTTCAAGCTGCAGTCTCACTGAATTCTTAATCCCTGCAACCAAGCCTTCACAGCACCATGTGCCTGCGTCTTGAATGGCTAATTAAAAAAAAAAAATCACCACCTGTTTTTGTGTGCACAGCTTGCAAAAACTGTGACAGAGCCGTGCACTCCCACAGCTGCTGCAACACAACTGAGAAACACTGACCGTCACAGACTTATGAAGACTCAGTGGTGAAAGCTGTTCAGACGCAGACAAAGTCAAGCAGAGGACGTATAAAACAGCCTTTCTTATCAAAACGTGTTGCAAACTAAGTAAATACAAGAAGAAAAAAATTTGCATACTGAAAATTCAGTGTTTGTTCGAACAAAGAAATCAGTGATTTGTTATTAAATGTTTGAGATTTTGAGAATTAATATTTTAGAAACTACACCACAAGATTTTATTAAACTATATTTATTTTAAAATGCCAAGGGTATACTTAAAATCTAGGCAACATGAAAAAAAAAAGGGGGATTTAGCTTCTATTTTCACCTTGGAGAAAAAAAAACAACTGCTTTAGTAAATAAAAAAGAAACAAAACAAGAAAGAGAGAAAATATGTCCAATAAAATGACTGATATCAAAAAGCCACTTTTTCACTCAAAAAGAGCAGAAAATACTGCACAAAACAAGTGATCATACTTAGATGACAGAGAGAGCACCTTACTGTATTCATGTTGTAATTATGGAAGATGTTACAACTGTCAGATACTGTAGTTTTTTTATTTTAGGGCCAGCACCCCACTATTTTCAGACTCTAACAGCGCCTCTTAGTTAAATTTGAACTACTCTAAATAACTTGGAATTACCATAGAGATTTCATCTTGGTATACTCATGTCAACGAGTTAATTAAGACAAAGCTAATAGCTACAAATAATAAATAAATCAGTCGTATCAGGTTCTGACAGCGTGGACAAAAATACTCCACTTCCTCGCAAGCTGAAGCTAACATTTAAACGCCAAAGCCTTTGAAGTATCTGAACTACAAAGCTCTAAATTAAATTGTTCATTATAAACCTCCTCAAATAGAGGTCTAGTTGTTTACTGGAGCCAGCAGGTCATTGGTCATTATCAGGCGGTGTTGTTGTCCGCTCACAGCCGCCTCACAGGCGCCACTCGGACTGATTAGCATGAGAGCTAAAGCCGGAGCACAAAGCCTGACAGCCAGCCGAGCGATGCTAACAAAACCCGATGGATTCAAAATAAACACGCGCCTACCTGACACGGAGGGCAGCTTTTAGCTCATTCTGGGAAGTTTGTATATGCGGCCATTGGTTTTAAACAACCGTGATGGTTTAATTTGCTACGTAAAAAAACAGAAACTGCCCAGCCCACCCACTGGTTTCTTCTTCTTGTGTTGTTTTACTGCGGTTGGCAAACAACGGAAGGTGTGCATTACCGCCACCCAGCCGCCACCCTTCTTCTTCTTCTTCTTCCTTTCGTTTAATGGCGGATTACAAACAACTTTCAGGTGCATACCGCCACCTACTGTAC